AAACTTTCACCTTTTAGATTAAACCTATGACCCCAGTAATTGACATTTCTACCCTAGGAAAAAGTACAGACTATCACTTGTATCCATAGCTCTCAATGTTGAAAACTCCTGTCAGGTTGCTCCTCAGTCTCTGAGGTTCAAGTGAAAACAATCCAAGTTTGTCCAACTTCTCCTCATTGCTTATACATTCCAAACCAGGCAACATCCTGGTAACCATTTCTGTACCCTCTCCAAAGCCTCCACATCCTTCTGGTAATGTGGTGACCAGAACTGTACGCAGTATTCCAAATGTGGCCTCACTAAAGTTCTACACAGCTGCAACATGACTTGCCAATGTTTATACTCTATGCCTTAACTCATAAAGGTAAGCATGCTATTTGCCTTCTTGACCATCTTACCCGTTTGTGTTGCCAATTTCAGGGAATTGTGGACCTGTACACCTAGATCCCTCTGTATGTTGATGTTACTAAAGGTTCTGCCATTTACTCTATACTTCCCTCCTGCATTAGATCTTTCAAAATGCATCAACTTATATTTGTCTGGATTAAACTCCATCTGCCATTTCTCTGAACAAAACTCCCACCTATTTATATCCTGCTGTACCCTCTGGCAATCTTCCTCACTATCTGCAGCTCCTCCAATCTTTGTAAAACCGAAAGAATTGTGGATGCTGCAAATCAGGGACAAAAACAGAAGTTACTGGAAAAGCTCAGCAGATCTGGCAGCATCTGTGAAGAAAAATCAGAGTTAATGTTTCAGGTCCAATGACCGCCGCACCACCACCGCCCCCTCCCCCAAATCTTTGTGTCGTCTGAGGTGATGGCTGAGTTGTATCATCACTGCACTGTTATTCTAGAGACCCAGGTAATGTTCCAGGGACCTGGGTTCAAATCCCACCACAGCAAATGTTGGAGGATACAAAGATTTCAGTTAAGGACCCAACAATTTCCCCACTTGCCTCCCTCCGCATTCTGGTATAGATCCTGGAGATTTGTCCAGCTTAAAACTTTTCAAAACACCCAACACTTCCTTTTCTAAATTGACATGCCCTAGGATAGGAATATGCCCTTCCTGAGACTCACCATTCAACATGTCCTCCTTTGTGAATACTGATGCAAAGTGCACATTAATAACCTTCCACTTCCTCTGGGTCCATGCATAAATTCCCTCCTTTCATCCTTGAATAGATGTACCCTTTCCCCAGCTACCATTTTGCTCCTTATATATGTATAAAATGCCTTGCAATTTTCCTTAATACCGTTTGACAAAGAAATTTCATGACACCCTTTAGCTCTCCTAATTTCTTGTTTGAGTTCTTCCTTGCTATCTTTGTATTCTTTGAGGGTTCTGTGTGTCTTCAGTTTCCTAAACCTCCTGATTCCCACATGCCAGATATGGATTAACCCTCAAATAGCTGCCCCAATGTACATTCTTTAGTTCCTGTCTAATATTGTTGCAGTTAGCCTTCCCCCAATTTAATACTTTCACCTGAGGACTACTCTTACCCTTATCTGTAAGTAACTTAAGATGTACAGAATTATGGTCACTATTCCCAAAATGTTTCTCCACTGAAACTTTGATCACCTGGCCAGGCATATTCCCCAATACCAGGTCTAGTATTGCCCCTCCTGGGCACACCTAATAAATTTCCCCTCCATCCAAACCCCTGGCACAAAGGCCCCAGTCAATACAGGGAAGCTCAAATCACCTACCACAACAACACCTACTGATTTTATATTTTTCCATAATCTGTCCACACATCTGTTCCTCTAGTTCCCATTGGCTATTGGGAGATCTGTAGTACAACCCCATCAAAGTGATTGCATCCTTCCTATTCCTGAGCTCTACCCATATGGCCTCGCTGGATGAGTGCTCCAGGGTGTCCTCCCTCAGTACTGCTGTGATATTCTCTCTAATCAGTGACACAATTCCTCCATCTCTTTTACATCCCTCTCTTTTGCATGAAACCTCTAAATCCTGAAACATTAAGCTGCCAGTCTTGTCCCCCTCACAACCAAGTCTTTGTAATAACTACAATATCATAGTTACATAGAACATAGAACAGTACAGCACAGTACAGGCCCCTCGGCCCACGATGTTGTGCCAAACTTTTACCTGAAACCTAAGGTCTATCTAACCTCCACTGCTACCTTATACTATCATTGATATACATGGTCATTTCACCTGCTGACCTACTGCTCTGGTTCCCAACACCTTGCCACACCAGTTTAAACTGTCCCAAGTAGCACTAGCAAACCTCCCTGCCAAGATTTTGGTGCCCTGAGGTTGTTGATTTGCTCGCTGAGCTGGCTTGTTCTCGTTCAAACATTTCATCACCATGCTAGGTGACATCATCAGTGGAGCCTCCAATGAAGTGATGTTATTCTACTCCGCTTGGAATTTATACTGTCTGGTCCGTTATAGTGAGTAGAACATAGAACATAGAACATTACAGCGCAGTACAGGCCCTTCGGCCCTCGATGTTGCGCCGACCTGTGAAACCAATCTGAAGCCCATCTAACCTAAACTATTCCATTATCATCCAAATAGTGTCATTTCTGGCTTTGATTTGTATGGGTTTGTATATGGGGTCCAATTCTACATGTTTGTTGATTGCATTACGGGTGGAGAACCATGCCTCTAGGAGGTCCTGTGCGTGTCTATGTTTGGCTTGGGCTACTATGGCTACCTTGTCCCAGTTAAACTTATGGCCTTCATTGTCTGAGTGCACCGATATTAAGGAGAGTTCATCATGCCATTTTGCTGCGATAGGGTTAGGGTTAGCTGACGTTCATATATTTTGATGGCTAGTTTCCTCCCTGTCTGTCCGATGTAATGTTTGTGGCAGTCGTTGCATGGTATTTTGTAAACCACATTGGTTCTGCATGTTGTGGGAATGGGGTCTTTAATCCTTGTAAGTGTTCGTTGTAGAGTGGCCGTGGGCTTGTGGGTCACCATGATTCCTCATGGTCTTAGGAGTCTACCCACAACCCAAGCTACAGATCTTTGCCAAAATATTAGTGCCCTTCCGGTTTAGGTGCAACCCATCCTTACTGTACACGCCACCTGCCCTGGAAGACATCCCAACGATCCACATACATAGAACATAGAACAGTACAGCACAGTACTGGCCCTTCAACCCACAATGTTGTGCTGAACTTTTACCCTAAACCTAAGGTCTATCTAACCTCCACCCCTACCTTATACTATCATCCATATGCCTATCCAATAGCCACTTAAATGCCCCTAATGAGGCCGACTCCACTACCCTCTCCGGCAATGCATTCCACGCCCCTACCACTCTCTGAGTAAAGAACCTACCTCTGAGGTCTCCCCTATATCTACCTCCACTCATTTTAAATCTACCTCCACTCACGTTAAATTTTCACATATCTGAATCCCTCCCTCTTACACCAGCTCTTTAGCCACATATTTAACTGTAGTATCTTCCTATTCCTAATCTCACTGGTACATGACACAAGGAGTAATGTCCGAAGTGTTATCCTTTGCTTTGAGAGGTAAAAGTTAGACACTCACAGTCAAACCTGACATCTCCTGAGATGCTATTTGAAGGTGGCAGCAAAGTTCTCATGGCCATCTCGATCAATATATATCTCACAACATCATTAAATCATTGTGTGCAGCAGCTGCAAAGTAAAAATACTTAATTAGTTCAAAATCATTTGCAATGTCCGTGGGATTTGACGAGCACTAAATAAATGGAATTTTATTTAATCCCATTAGCATAAAATGTTATGTGGCCATTTTCAGTTGTGAATTCTCTGGTATATGTACAGTATTAAATAACTTTTACTCATTCACAGGATGAGGGTGTCATTAGCTAGGCAGCATTTATTACCCATCCCTAATCGCCCAGAGGGCAGTTAAGAATCAGCCACGTTGCTGTGGGTCTGGAGTCATGTGTAGGCCAGACCAGGTAAGGACATTAATGAACGAAATGGGTTTTTCCCAACAATTGACAATGGATTCATGGTCATCATTAGACTCTTAATTGCAGCTATTTTATTGAATTCAGATTCCACCATCTGCTGTGGCAGGATTCGAACCCAAGCGCCCAGAACAGTTTTCCGGGTCTCTGGATTAATAGTCCAGGATAACACCACTAGGCCATCACCTCCCCATGATGTTCCATATCACTGTAGCTGGAATTTTCCAGCTAGTGGTCTAACAGTTACAGGCAGCAGCTTTCTGCAGAGAGAGCTCCAGACATCCAATCCCAGTGTCAGGAAGCAAAGAGACAAACACTTAAACTGAAGTATTCTCAGTAACCGGAAAGGAGAAAGATTTCACATCTTTTATTTTCAATGTGATGTCGGCGGTACTGAAATAGCTACGACTCTGTTAGGACCCAATCTAAATTAAATAGACGATTTTTAAAAAGTTTTAGTTTTGAATGGGAATTTGAGCCTCTATGGAAAAAATAATCTTACCGAAATATAAAATGATCTTTCGGAACCAGTGATTTATAAAGAAATCATTTAAAACTGGTCGCATCTCATTCATTAAATGAGAGATTTTCCCCGGGATTTATGCAGCAAAACTAATAGCGGGGTTGGGGTGAGGTCTCATCCGGAATCTGGGGGTAAGGGGGTGTAGATGCAGTTCCGAGGAAGGGTCACCGGACCCGAAACATTAACTCTGATTTTTTTTTCTGCACAGATGCTGCCAGACCTGTGAGGTTTTGCAGTAACTTCAGTTTTTGTTGTAGATGCTGGATAATGCTGCCTGTAGGGTAGGTAGCTGTAGTTCCTGGCCGTTTCCCAGTTAATGCTGTGGCTGTGTCAGAAACAGGGATCAATGACAATGTTCCTCCTCAGTACCAGCGGGGCTGTTGTATTAGTGGCCGTGCTTTCAGGTGGAGGACTTGAATCTATCCCTCAGCAAGGAAGCCCCACTCTAACAGCGTGAGCAGCAAGGCTCCGCAGTGTGATTCCGGAACCGAGAGGGTTACACAGTGCTGCCTGTCTACAGGGACGAGGCGACAGTTACAGGTGAGGAACAGGGTAGGATTACTGTGGCTGGAAGCTGGGAAAAGCCAACACAGGCTTCCTGCTCTCTCCCACCCCACCTTGGCCACCCGGAGCTGGCGGGGTATATGTGCGGGGGCTGTGTTTGTGGACAGGTCCCCCTCGGGGTTAAAGTGCTCCTGGAGGGAGGGGAGAGCGGGAGAGCGGCGGAGCAAACGGCGCAGCGGAGCTCGGGAACTTGCAGGTGGATTAAAGCTGGAAGGATAGCCTCAGAGCCCGGAGCACTCACTGGGTAAGTCCGGGAGGGGAAAACACTGGGCTCACTGTGTCCTGACAGAGCCTTTCCCCTTTCACACGGCGAACATGCACCTGTAAAGGGGGAGAACTGAGGGATTTATAGTGAGACTATCAGCCGGTCACTGCTCTGTGTTTGATCAGCTGGAACTGAATCCATTGGAGGAAAAGTTTCCAGTACCTTGACAAACCTACAACCGACCGTCACTCTATTCCTGGGACCAGCTCTTGTCAAATGATAATATGATGTTGCTCAGGACAAAGGCAGTGGAAGGAGCCCAGCCACAATCTCAATCTCACAAAGTTTTTAATTGGGGGGTTTTCCATTTGTTCAGCTGCAGTTTCTTCCGGAACTCCCCCAGTCATCAGATTGTTTCGTGATCAATTATCCATTAGTTTCACGGGAGCGCTGATAAACAGGTATTTTCCATCACGTGGTGTATTTGCAAATTGTACGTTTTTCTAAAATGTTTCTTGTTTGACATTTTGCTCAAGTTCCATTTTCGCACAAATCCCCAGCAGAAGGCGCTCAAAGAAAGTTTCTGTCAATGCATAGGCGCGCGTCCGGCTCGGGGGCACTGCGCAGCATCGACAGAAAGGAGGGGGTAACTTTGAAGAGTATTCCAGATTAGGTAGTGGAATAGTGGTAATGCCCCTACCTCTGGGCCAGGAGGCTCGGGTTCATGTTCTAGCCGCTTTAGTAGTATGTCATTGACATCCCTGAACAGGTTGATTAGAAAATATCTTTTCGAGTAGGGAGAGGGAGCCTCATTGGGCTGTTACTGTTGAGAAGCAAATTTACTGTAGGTTTGATAACATCGTAGTCACTGCCTTTCACTAGTGATTGAAACCCTTTGAACAGTTTCAATGTGATAAGGGCACTCTTTAAATGCAAGTCTACTTCGTTGTAATCTGCAGCAAATATTTGATATTGCAGTCTTAGAAATACACTTGTTGTAAATTAACTGAAATTGTGTTGGTAAATCTTTGGTTTTAAAGAGTGGCACGGTGGCTCAGTGGTTAGCACTGCTGCCTCACAGCGCCGAGGTCCCAAGTTCAAAACCACCCTCAGGCGACTGTCTGTGTGGAGTTTGCATATTCTGCATGGGTTTCCTCCGGGTGCTCCGGTTTCCTCCCACATTCCAAAGATGTGCAGGTTAGGTGGATTGGCTGTGCTAAATTGCCTGTAGCATTCAGGGATGTGTAGATTAGGTGGGTTATAGGGGTTGGGTCTGGGTGGGATGCTGTGGGGGTCGGTGTGGACTTGTTAGGCCGAAGGGCCTGTTTCCACACTGTAGGGATTCTATGATTCAAATCTAAAATTCTCAATATTTAAATCAGGCTTCATAACCCTAATGTTAACTCCTCCACCCCACAGTCTCTTATTTAACTCTGTGCAATTTGGGTCTTAGAGAACAAATGACATAATTGCATTAGAAGCAGTTCAGAGAAGTTTCACTGAACTGATTCCTGCAATGAAGGGCTGAGATTGTAAGGACTGTATTGGTTGGAGTTTGGAAGAATGAGGGATGATCTTATTAAAAGATAGAATGTGGAGAGGGAATTTGGCAGGGTGAATGCTGGAGGGGTGGTTCCCCCTGCTTGACAGTCTAGAACTAAAATAGGAAGTTTCCAATTTAAGATGGTGATTTTTTTTCCTGGTAGAGGGTCACAGTTTTGTTGAATTCTGTTGCTTATAGAGCAGAGTCATTGAATACTTCAAAGGCAGAGATACATAGATTCTTGAATAACAAGGAACTCAGAAGGTGTTGGGTAGCTGGGAAAAAGGAGTTGAGACAAATTGTATGACTAGTGATCTTAATATGTAGTGGTCCAGCTACTATGCTACTATGGCCACATGTCCCTGAGCCTCTGCGGTCACGTGACCCTGACTTTGAGATGTTTGTGCTCCTCTTTTTGGTTTCTTGACATCCCCTTCAGCATTGACGACTACAACTGTCAGCTATCTAGGCCCCAAGACCTGGCATTCTGACCCAAACCTTTCCATCACTTTACCTCTATTTCCCATTTTGATATGCTCCTAAAAAGTTGTCTCTGAACAAAATTTTGGCTAAATCTCCTGATAAGGCACTGTACAAAATTTTGCTCATAACACTGTTGTGAATGCATTGTAAATATCATTTTACTGTGTTCAAGGTGCTACGTACATACAAGTTGGGAGAGGCAGGTTGTTATATTCCATCATTGATTAGACATCATTGTCATCATGGCTACCAGATTCAAAATATTGCATGCATGTTAACAGCAGCCTTAAGTACCTGCTTATAGTAACATTCTGCAAGATTTCCATCATTTCAGAAAAATCTGAACTAAATTCTCTCTTCTTGAGTGAGATGAGTCTAAGTTCAGGAAATCTCTTTCAATGACTTGGGAGTCCTCATTTGTCTGAATTCTTTCTAATGAACTGATATCCTTTTTCAATGTGATTTTTGCAGTGTTGTGGAGCAAACTGAGGCATTGAAGTAAAGCTGTAAAATGGTATGATCGTTCCCTGAAATCTCATTCGGAGAAACTGACCCATTCCTCTTGTTTTGAGTTTTCAGCCCATCCAGCCAGATCCATCATTCAACATGATCAAGGCTGATCCTGTATCTCAATGCCATCTTTCCATGCTCTCTCCATGCCCCTTGACAATCTGTCTTTCTTTCTTAAACATCTCAGTGATATCACCTCCACAGCCTTCTACTGCAGAGAATTACACAGATTCACCACCCTGAGTGAAGAAATTTAACATTATCTCAGCCCAAAATGGTCTTTTGTGTTTCTGAGACTGTAGCCCCTTGTCTCAGACTCTTCTTTTCCCACCAACACTGCCAGAGGAAACCTCATCCCTGCATCCAGTCTGTTCAGCCCTGTCAGAATTATATGCATTTCAATGAGGTTCCCTCTCGATCTTCTAAACTCCAGGACATAAAGGCCCAGTCCACCCAATCTCACCTCGTAACACAAAGCCACCATCACACATATCAACCTGGTGAACTTTTGCTGCACTCCCTCCTAAACAAGCTTTTTTCCTTAGATAATGAGACCAAAATTGCAGCCAGTACACCAGCTGTGGCCTCACCAGAGCTCAGCACACTTTGATGATGCATTATTTGTAACAGTGACAGGAGTCAGTTAGCTCAGTTGGCTGAACAGCCTGTTAGTGATACACAGTGAGGCTAATGGACTGGGTTCAATTCCCACACCAGCTAAGGGTACCATTAAAGGACTCTCCTTCTCTACCTCTTCTCCTCGCCTGAGGCATAGTGACCCTCAGGTTAAACCACCACCAGCCATAGAAACACAAAGACCAGAGTAAGCCATTCAGCTCCTTGAACCAGTTCCACCATTCATGGTTGACTTGTGGCCTAACCTCATATACCTGCCTTTGGCTTACATCCCTGACTGCTTTTGCTTAACAAAATACTATCTAGCTCAGATTTAAAATTAACAATTGATCCAGCATCCACCACCAGATGTGGAAGTGAGTTCTAAACATCTGCAACCCTTTGTGTGTAGTTGTCTCTCTGTAATGAGGGAACAGCCCTCATTGGTGTGGTAGTTCGAGGGTTCAGTTGTGTGGAAAATTTATAAAATCAAAGCAAAAGGAGAAGGTAGGATTGCAGACAAGTGATGGCATTGTTTGTTACTAAGAAATAGAATGAAGGAACAGAATGTGTGAATATCATATTGTACCAAGGAACCATAAAACTGCAGGGAAATTGGAAAATAGAACAAGCTTAAAGGCTTTGTATCTTCATGCATGAAGCATTCAGGACAAGGTAGACAAACTGAATGTGCAAATCGAGGGAAATGAAAATGATCTCGTAGCATTATGGAAATGTGGTTATAAGGAGATCAAAACTGGGAACTTAACTTTCAGGGATATTTGACCTTTCAGAGAAATGGGGGATGGTAAAGATGGTGAGGTAGTCCTGTTAATAAGAGATGAAATGAGGGCAGTTGTGAGAGATGATCTCGGTGTGGATAACGTAGAGTCCATATGGGTGGAAGTGGGGAAAACAATCAAGGAAAAGACAATCAGAGATAATAGGAACTGCAGATGCTGGAGAATCTGAGACAACAAGGTGCAGAGCTGGATGAACACAGCAGGCCAAGCAGCATCATAGGTCTAGGCCCAAAACGTCAGCCTTTCTGCTCCTATGATGCTGCTTGGCCTGGTGTGTTCATCCAGCTCTGCACCTTGTTGTCAAGGAAAAGACAATATTTGGTAGAAGTTATGCACAGACCCCAAACAGTAGTCACTCTGTAGGAGTAGTGATAAATCAACAAATAATAGTAGCATGTGAAAAGAACAGAGCAATAATTATGGGTGATTTTAATCTTCATGTTGATTGGGTTAATCAAATTGGAAAGTGTAGCTATGACAGTGAATTCATAGCATGCATTGGGGATAGTTTCCTGCAGCAATATGTCATGGAGCTAATCAGAAAGCAGGTTGCCTTGGATCTGGGAATGGGTAATGAGGCAGGCTAAATAAACAACCTCCCAGGAAATAGTGATCATAACATGATAGAATTTAATATTCAGTTCAAGAGTGAAAAACCTGGCTCACTAAACACAGTTGTTTTTTTATGTAAATAAAGGGAGTTACAATTAATTTACAAATGAATTAACTGGAAAGTCTTTGAGGACATAATGAGCTCAGTGGACGATGAAGAACTGGTGGATGTGATTACAATAGATGTGAAGCTGGAAAAGTACAGCAGGTCAGACAGCATCCAAGGAGCAGGAAAGTCAATGTTTCAGGCTGAAACCCTTCGTCAGGACTGGGGACAGGGAAAGGAGTCCAGAAATAAATGGGGCAAGGGCGTCGTTGGGGCTAGTGGAAGGGTAGGTGGAATGGTGATGGGTGAATGCAGGTAGGGGGTTATTGGGATTGGTCAGTGGGAAGGATGCAGCAGATAGGTGAGTAGGAAGATGGACAGTCAGGTCAGCTGAGGGAGGTGAGGGTAAGGGGTAGAGCTGGACGTG